ATCTAGCGGTCTATGACTGAACGGCAACGAATTCGATATGTTTACTTAGTTCTTCAAAGAACAAGCGACCATATTGCAGCGATATAAAGTTTACTTTAGTTTATTGTGACAAAATAAATATGACGATAAACAGAATGAAATAAAATAGGACAACGATGATATGAAATATCACCATAGATTACAAGTACGACTGTCTATACGTATAGTGCAAAGATACTCGAAATTAAACATTTTTCTACGATTTTCGAGGACTTGCGCGGATCATTGACACGACGTAACGTCGTGTCAATGATCCGCGCGACAATAACGGACTGAACTAAATGCGAGTATTTCAGCGAGAGTCTATTTTTGGGAGGTGAGGTGTGGGGACCGCCCCTCGCGTCCCGCAACCCGCGCGCTAAAAACTAATATGAATAAAATAAGAACAGACGGAGAAAATTTGACACGGATCCGTCGCCAACAAGCGCCCGATGGCGACTGAAGGGACAGCGGGTGCCGCGGTGTGTCCATAAACCGCTGGGCAATTTTCAAATTTTGGAATAAATGTAAATTTGATAACTATAAGCTTAATTTGAAAACGGCCTCGTAAACTCTAATTCAGAGATACAGTCGCATCTAAATACGATGCGAGCGCTGTAGTCGCGCTACAAGAACTTATTTTAGATACTCGGCGCACATTGGCCGCTCTCATAGCACGTTTGTATTACTTAGAACCGCGCGCATCTCCTCTTTTGTATCTTCGTACTAACACACATTTACGGCCATTGTATGACCCAGAGCATATAAATCGGTGCCCATTTTGGGGGTACAGCGGCGCTATAGCTGCTTATACATCTACTGTAGAACTTGTTAATGCAGCCTAAGCCGTTATTAAGAACTTCTAACCGGCTATTGTACGGCTTGTTATTAGAGCTAGTGTGCTAGTTGGGAAGTGACGGGACAAACAAGTCGAGCGCCTGATGGTAAGCGACACGCCTGTCCATAATAATTGCAGTGCCACTTAAGGCTTTAAATCCCAAAGATGTGAGAGGCACTGTCACTGCGTCTGTCACCCTGAGACATAAGTTGATAAGTCCCAAGTCCCAAGACAACCGCAAATGACACCCAAACTCACGAGAGAAGTAAATGTAGGCCTTATAAATATGTTTCCCGGCCCGGGAATCGAACCTGGGACCTCTGCGTGGCAGTCTGGCATGGTAACCGTTAGGCCACAGAGGCAGTTATAATACTTAAACTATTTGATCTTGTAAAACAGTTTATCCAGCTTCTCCTCTGAAGACTCGCCTTAAGTACGTGGAACTTCGCGCACTGTTGGTACACATGCCACACAAACTAAGCACTTGTACTGTATTTATTGTTCTGTGGTCCAGTAACGCCTTCTCGGTCGTTCCTGCCATCGTCTTTCATTTTCGGGCACTTAACGACTCACGAAGTCCGTCCAGGGGGGGCCTACCACAACCTCTTAAAACAATATTACTTTTATCTTACCTTGACTTTTCGTACCAAGACGCGCTTAAAATAAGCTTATTATAATGTTAAAACTATGATGTTTTATTGGCAGCTTTGTGACTATTCATTCACTCAGTTCATACTAAGACGAAGTAATATTGTTCTTAAGTCAAATTTAGCAATCTTATAACGCAGTGGAAACAATATTACTTTCGAATTTATTGTCTAAATATTGATTTGTAATGATTTAAAGGTAAGTTGAACTTATTTATTTACAAAAATCTCTTCAACATTTTGTTTATTTTTTTAGTTAATATGTATTACGTACCATAGGAAATCATTTCTCGTTAAATAAAAATACGCGATGTTTATTTCGTAAAATTATGACAGCGACATCTATATGCTCCTTGGCGACACTAAAGTTGACACTAGACTATAATTCCGAGTTCACAACGTAACTTCGTGAGTCGTGATAAGACTCAGCTTGTTTTATTTATTTTTCTTCATGAAAACGCGGAAAAATAATTGAAAACAACATAATTTTCATAGATTTTATTATTACACACTTTCTTTTTTTAACAGTTAAAATTGTCTAATGTAAATAACATTACATACTTAAACATTATACTACAATAAATCGATTCGGAATATCAATAAAGAAAGAGATGGCATTATGTAGTACATATAGCGTTATTTCTTTCCTATTTTTAGTAAGGAATAAAGAATATTGGGAAATCCGTTCCTTCAATCATTTTAGCAATAATACATTGCTTGGTTGACAGGTTTGTCATGGTACGAATGTAAGTAATATTATAATAAGCTTACTTGAAGCTTACATTGAAATAACATTGTTTTTGGAAAGGTTATAGTAGGCCCCCAGTTCTCGGGTTGTATTCAGCTAACGTGACCTGCCCAAATCGATATCGATCAATACCTAAAACAGAAAAAAACTTGTCGATTTTTCAATGGTTAATGCTGGGTGAAATCTGTTACCGATAACGGGTTTTACGACATGGCTGCAAAACTCCGCGATACGGAAAGCTATTAACCAGTTGCCTTTATTTGTTCCAGTGCTAGTGAACTGTAGTTTAGATCGGCAAAAGTCACGGCAAAAACTTAACCACCCGAATTTCTGTTATATCCTAAAATTCTGACGTTTAACTTTTTTTTTAAGTATATGGGGGACAATTCCAAAAAAAAAAACATAATATATATTCAAAGACACGACGCAAGCACATAGAAAAATTCGTGAGGTATAGCGTCTGCCACGCTGTGCTAGAAGACATCGTTTCGGATCCGGCCGGATCTAAGGTTTTTTTTTTCTGAGTGTTCGATCTTCGTATTAATAATTATAACAAATTAGTGGAGTAATTTAACAAAAAATAATTGAATATCAATTCAATAATGTTTTTCTTTCTTTAATAAAATTTTAAAATATTTATTATCTTATAAAGGCGGTAAAAATTTTAAAAAGATTCCATTTATAGACAAACAACTAATCTTTATAGTTTTTGTAATAAACAGCCTCCTAGATTCTACTAAATAATAAATAAGAAAAAAACATAAATATACATCCTTATTAAACTAATACAAATAACAGAATAATAAGTGTTAAATAAAGAATTACTTCTTAATTTAGAGCTCGATGGTTTGAATCCTGTGGCGGGCATGTACCTATGATTGTAAGTTCTAAGTAAAGTATTTTTGTGAATTTTTACTAACAGCACCTCTTGTTAATGGTAAAGAAACACATCATGATCAAACCTGCATCTCGAAGACGATGCACAACCCTTATAGAGATGATCACGTTCTAATCACTTCGTACATTTTGCTTTGTATTGTTATGTTATCTGTTTTTTTGCCATACAATTTTTAGATAATTTTACAGAACCCAAAACATATTTCATAAAGGCAGTGTACGAACTTCAAAACATGTCTAAATAAAAACAAGAACCCATAAAGCCAATAGGAAGCATGCATTTGGAGTAATAAAAATAATCATAACTCTGAAACGCGTGTACTGCTGCTGGTGGCAGCCCTTAAGGGTGTCCTGTGGATTTGTAATGTAGCCAGGCGAGTAGTAGCCTCCGCAACCTCCATACATCTCAATATTATTACCGTTTTATTAATATTTGTGATCTTTGGAAATGTTTATCGCACAAGAGATTTTTGGTAACTGGTAAACGGTTAAAAAAATTACCGACAAGATGTGTTCGCTGCCGCGATCTGCCAAGGAGTAACGATGGAACGAAAATCAGAATGGCGGAGCAAAGGAATTGAAGAACGATTCAAATGTTAAAAACGAGTGGTCAGGAACCGGTAAAAAACCGATAAAAAGGTGGGATGACGATGTAAGGAGGTCACATCGTCACAACTCTATACTCGTTATGTATAAGGTATTCTTTGGGAGTAACTTTTACTACTGATTTAAAAAAAAGAACTGAAAACTTCTTTTAGATATTTTTGATGATGGATTTGATTACTTTTGGTCTTGTTATTTAAGGGAAAAATACTCATTGAGCTCGCAGCCCTTAAAGGACTTAATTATAGGCGTTGAAAAAAACATGTCTACTCATCTCTTCTGCTATTTTATGTCACCTTTTAATGTCCGCCGTCTAAAAAGAAATTAGTAAATAAAAACACAGCCCTATCTTACATACCCGCACCCCATACACAATAATCACTTCCATGGATGAAAAGTCACTTCCAAGGGCTTATAAATTTATCACGAATCCATGGAAGTGACCGCAGTACATTTTTCCATTAAAATATCAAAAACTTAACTTGAAAACCAAAAATGGACGTGTAAATTTAGCCATGTGATTTTGATAGAAAAACGCGTTACAGGCACAAAACTGAAGTGCATTAAAAACATACATCTAACGACTACCACTCACACAATTGTGACCACTTTGCTCGGTGAGTGTTGAGAATCTCAGATCAAAATATAATTACTCATGTTGGCACCGCCAGCTTCGACTTCTAGTGACATCTGAATCAAAAGATGGCGGCTGTGTCTTCTTTGCGTACTTCTTTGCGTACTCTTCTGACATAAAACACAGGATTTTTTTCCTTGCCACGACGATGTGGTCACACCACACACACAGAACGGACATTTACGATGTTTTAAAAAATAATTAAAAAATAAATGACGCATTAAATTAACTTCTTTTTTCTTAAATCACAGTATTTTTTTCTTAGATTTGCTCGCTTGTTGTCGTAGAGAACGGACGTGTATTTTATTATTATGTGCTGTGAGTCTCAATCGAAGCTTTCTGTTTAAGTTGTGCGAAAGTTGGTGCCTCCTGTTTCATCTTGGACATTGACTTACAAATAAATGGACGACGGGTCTAATACAAAAACCACGAAAAAAATGTCCCAAGTCAACCTATTTAAACGTAGTGACATGTAAAGGAATATGAAAAAGCTAAAACGTTGAATTTAAATTGTAATGTCATCGCAGTACTGTCTAATTTTGCTTGCTTCGCTGTCAGTCGAACAAACGAAGACTAAAGCGTGAATGACGCTCTGAATACGATTTTAACGCCCTATAAGTTCGGACACTTTTTAGCGCGGACCCGACGTCCATATAATTCTAAGTCAATGATCTTGGGGCATATTCTGTAAGATCCCTCAGCCATTTTGGATTTTGTCGGACCACGCTGTCACACCTGTTGGAGTGGTCGACGTCACGCACCCGTCATCGACTGGTGCTGCCATCGTCAATGTCACCGGCGCCATCTGCGGTGAGTCGTTTCGAAACAGAATTCGAGTAACGGAAAATTGAACCATCGCTTAGTTGCGATTCGAGCCTGGACCTCTTGCATGCAAGTCCGTCGCACTACAGACGAGCCACCGCATTGTGATAGCTTCGCTTTCATCATTTTTGAAGGCGGCTTTAACTTGGACTCCACTTTGTTCCTGGAGGCGGCTTAATATTGACTCTACCTTTTTTTTTAAATATTGTTTGAACACACGTCTTGCATTTTGCAATTTTGCAATGCTCTGTATCGCTTGTAATAAAGAAATAGGCCATAGTGGCTTATTGTTATGTATTGGCTACAAACAAAACGTACACTACGTATGCTTGAACATCACATCAGGTTGTTTTAGAGAACATAGTAAGCAGGTTAGACAGACGTGACAATGCATGTCATGCACTGCCATCTCTAAACGTAACCGCATTAGCGATACTGCAGCGTCAAGTGATAAACATGACGATGAGTCAACTGACCACGTGTGAGCCTGCTAGCACTATGCAGTAAAGCCAGGGGGGACAGGCGTCAATTGTCTATGGAGACTTTGAGGAATTACTGGATCTTAAACTGAAACTAATCCAAAAGTCAATAACTGATAATATACGGAGTTACATCAGAGACGAAATTAACTCCGCTACAGACAAATTAGAAAAGAAATTCTCCGAAAGTAACGATTTTTTGGCTGCTGAACAAACTGAAATAAAGAACGGCATTAGAACCACTAATGATAGAATAAAACGTTTAGTAGCTGAAAACTCGAAGCTGTCTATGGACCTAACGAAGCTGGACGGGCGTCTACGCACAGTTGAAGACAATACGAGACGACGTAGAAATTCAAATGTTACCTGAACAAAAATCGGAACCCTTTCACATATGTATGCGGATGACACACAACTTTAATACACAACCGAGCCACAGAAAGATAAAACACTCACAGCTATTCGGGTGCTTAATATTGACTTGAGCCTAGCATTGGATTGGGCTAATAATAACGGACTTTTATTAAACGCGCAGAAATGTTCCTTTCTGATATTGGGCACAAAACATCAGATTAAATGTGTCCATGGTTCTGATCCTTCCATCATTATTAATAAACAGCAAATATGCGAATCTGTTATACCGAGAAACCTGGGTCTTTTATTCGACGGTTCTCTAAATTTTGACAAACATGTGGCTTCCAAACTACCTAAATGTTATGCTGCGCTTGAACAATTATACAAGATAAGACGTAGATTGATAGATGCCCTGAAGTTGAAACGTTGGCCTGTCAAATGTAAATGCGTTCCTTCAACGATACGTATGTCGTTCAAACGTTTAAATATTAGCGCGATTGCTAATGTACACAACGTATCACTTTGACAGCGTTTTGTATTTGGTTTAGCTTTGATTGTTACGTTGGTATTTAGCGCGATTGGCCTCCTGGTTTTATCTATTATCGATTATTATGACTTTGTGTATGGACACTGTTTACACAAAAAAACGGGGAAGAAAATCCAAAACGTTTAAAACTCATTAGGTTTTGCTGTTCCGTACCGCCGAGGTCGCATATTACACCGTTTCTTAATACCTTTACAACATGACGAACAGGCGAATATTAATGCTTGGCACACTTGTATTTTCTTTAAGAAATTAACTGTCGCCTCCGTACTTGGCAAATAAATTGATTTGGAACGATAGAGTGGAGGGCAGCACCTATCCGAGTTTGAAATTGTCACCTCCTCGACTGCATTCTTTTAGAGGCAGCTTACATTTTGCGGCAATTGAGTGTTGGATCGTTGGAAATGGTTGCTTAACCAACAGAAGACATCATACTGTTGGCCGAAGGTGATGTAGGCTCTGTTACGTTATTAGAAATAATAAAAGTAAAATTATAATTGGAATTAAAAATGTACTGTCTGTATTCTAAATTCCATTCTCTGCTTGTTGTATTCTATGTACACAGTAAAATAAACTTTTCTGCTAAGTGTAGTATGTTAGGTGGTCGGTACGTATGTCATTTTGACGTATATATAATGAGTGAGGTCCATTGACTTACAAATAAATGGACGACGGGTCTAATACAAAAACCACGAAAAAAATGTCCCAAGTCAACCTATTTAAACGTAGTGACATGTCAAGGAATATGAAAAAGCTAAAACGTTGAATTTAAATTGTAATGTCATCGCAGTACTGTCTAATTTTGCTTGCTTCGCTGTCAGCCGAACAAACGAAGACTAGAGCGTAAATTACGCTCTTTAAACGATTTTAACGCCCTATAAGTTCGGACACTTTTTAGCGCGTACCCGACGTCCATATAATTGTAAGTCAATGGTGAGGTCCTATTTATTTATATAATATATAATAGAAAAGAAACCCGTATCTATATGCTACGGTGCCTGAAAACTAGCAAATTGCTGATGCTTTCACCTCTTCTGCGACATAGATTTAAGCATTGTTTTATCTTAAATAGATCGATAGATAGAATCTTTATTCACTACCATGACAAATACATACACAGACACAGTAATATATTCCACTAATATCTCTCTTGGAAGCCATGGCAATGAAAAGGCGTTGACTTAGCATATATGACGCGGCTGCCCGCGACGCTGGTATTCTGCCAGAACCTTATAGGGCAGGGACGCCACTCGCAAAACCCAAAAGAAAACAAATTTAATTAAATTCAAATTCTAACCAATTCAATTTAATTTTATCCAATTTTTTTTTATATTTTTCATTTATTTATTTATTTATTTTATAAAATTATTGTGAAAATTAATGTGGGAAAGACAAAGGTAATGGTTTTTGAAAGAGAGGAAGATATGACGATTTGCACGATATTGATTGAAGGAGAGAAAATGGATCAAGTGAAAGAGTTTGTGTATTTGGGTTCTACGTTTACGTGTGATGGAAAATGTGAAAGAGACATTGAAAGAAGAGTGAACGCAGGGAATCAGATGAATGGTGCCTTGCATACCTTCATGGGCAGCCAGAAAGTGTCTAAAAAGGCACGATTGGCTGTGCATGGGGGGTGCTGGTTCCTACACTTATGTATGGTAGTGAATGTTGAGTTTGGCAGAAGAAGCATGAAAGTAGAATTAACGCAGTAGAAATGAGAGCTTTGAGGAGTATGGCTGGAGTGACTCGGATGGATAAATTACGGAACAGTGTGATAAGAGAGCGTTGCGGCGTGGAAGAAGATATAGTGACAAAGATAGAGAAAGGGATGCTTAGATGGTTCGGACATGTGGAGAGAATGAATGAAAGAAGAGTGACGAAACAGATTTATAAGGCGAGTGTGAGCGGGCAAGTTGGTATGGGCCGACCAAGGAGAACTTATCATGACCAAATTGAGGCCATCCTAAAGAAGGGCCAGATCAAGAGTACCCTTAACCGACGAGCGTGTATGAAAGCATTGATGCGTGTTGATGAGGCGAAAGATGTGTGTCAGGACCGTAGCAAGTTGAAGACTGTTGTCTCTGCCTAAAAAAAGAAAGAAAAAGGCGTGAAGTATATGTATGTATGTAATTATTTTAGCCACTCCCATTTCCAATTTCTGCATATTTAAAAGATACTCCTGCAGCTTCTGCTTGAAAGTTCTTTTTGTGACGCTGTTACGGATAGGAGGAGGAATGTTGTTCCAACAACGAGTATAATATTGTATGTTTTCTGTTGAAGAAAAAACCCTTTTTATTATTTTTTTTGCCCTGTATTTCACTGACGCAAAACGCAATTTAGATACTTAGTTACTACATGTTAGAAAACTGATGATCACAGTCAGAAATACCCATGTTTTACTAGGATAATTTGAATTTATTAACAAATTGAATACATGACGTGGTTCATGTAAATATTTCTTAAAAACTAGCCCTGGGTATTCCCTCGATGTTGAATAAACGTCGAAGTTTGATGGAAGGAGGAAAAACAACAAAGAAATAAACTATGTTTTTATCTTTAATAAGCATCTCAAGGCGTTCGCGAGATGCGCGAGACGCTACACGTTAGAAATAAAATTGTTTTTTGATGTTAAAATACAACGGCTTGCCTATGGATACATTATGTTGGTGTTGTTAAGGTAGTGGAAATAATCATGGACGGTTTAACGATTCATTTTTGGTTTTAGTTTTTTTTACTTTTGGATGAATAACCCTGTGGAACTCGAGGAAGGGTTTAATTCATAAGTTCCCAAAGATTTTGGCTCACTGCCCGCTTAGGCAAAGATAAAAAAATTACAACGCCCACCATCACAAAAAATAATTGAAAACACGTATTGACTTACAAATAAATGGACGACGGGTCTAATACAAAAAACAAGGAAAAAAAATGTCCCAAGTCAACCTATTTAAACTTAGTGACATGTAAAGGAATATGAAAAAGCTAAAACGTTTAATTTAAATTGTAATGTCATCGCAGTACTGTCTAATTTGGCTTGCTTCGCTGTCAGTCGAACAAACGAAGACTAAAGCGTGAATGACGCTCTGTATACGATTTTAACGCCCTATAAGTTCGGACACTTTTTAGCGCGGACCTGACGTCCATATAATTGTAAGTCAATGATTGTAACACAATAACTTTGGCAATATTAGTGACAACAGTTCTGAACTTTACCGCTAGATGGCATTGGCGTAGAAAACGCAATTCCTTAATCGCGGTGTTAAGATTTTCCCTAAAGTAATGACCTTTCACCAGTATTTTGTATGAAATTGGTCGATTCAACAATTGCATTTCTACGGTTATCCTCACTACTAAGCGGAAGCATTTAACTGCCTCCGTGGCCGAACGGTTACCATGCCGGACTGCCACGCAGAGGTCCCAGGTTCGATTCCCGGGCCGGGAGAAATGTTTGTATGGCCTACATTTATTTCTCTCGTGAGTTTGGGTGTAATTTGTGGTTGTCTATGTGTGTGTCCATGGCACCCGCGACACAGGGTTTCCCTAGTGCGGGGCTATGTTGAGTGTGTGCGTTATTTATTTATTTATTATTATTTTATCTCAAACTCGCGCCCACC